GCAGGTCCTTCTAGTTGTGGCATGTGGGACGCCACCTCAACATGGCCTGATGAGCAGTGCCATGTCCACACCCAGGATCTGAACTGATGAAACCCTGGGCCGCTGCAGCGGAGTGTGTGAACTTAACCACTCGGCCATGGGGCCAGCCCCCCTCCGTTTTTTTAAAGTCTATTTTTTGGTTACTTTTTTAGCAGTTATCCTGGAGATTACAGTTAACATTTTAAATTTATAACAATCTAGTTTGAATTTATACCAATTTAGCTTCAAAAGCACATAGAAACTCTGCTACTATACATCTTTGTCTTCCCATTTTATGTTGTGAATATTAAAAAAATCATATCTTTATACATTATTGTCCATTAACATATATTTATAAATATTGTTTTATACATTTGTCATTTAAATCACATAAGAAATAAAAAAAGAGTTACAAACCAGAAATACCATAATATTAGCTTTTACATTTATCTATGTAGTTACCTCTCCTGGCATTCTTTCTTTCTGTATATGGCTTTGAGTTATTGTTTAATGTCCTTTCATTTCATCCTGAAGGAGTCCTTTCAGCATTTCTTGTAGGGCTGGTTTACTAGCAACAAACTCCCTCAGCTTTTGTTTATCTGGGAACGTCTTAATTCCTCCATTTTTGAAGAATAGTTTTGCCAGATATAAAATTTTTGGTTGGCAATGTTTTTCCTTTGAGCACTTTAAATATGTCATCTCACTGCCTTCTGGCCACCATGGTTTATGGTGAGAAATAGACTGTTAATCTTCTTGAGGAGCCCTTGTACATGTCAAGTCACTTTTCTCCTGCTGCTTGCTGAGTCTCTCTTTGTTTTTTGACAGTTTTATTATAATGTGTCCTGGTGTGAATCTCTTCGACTTTATCCTACTTATAGATTGTTGAGCTTCTTGGATGTGTGGATTCATGTATTTCATTAAATTTGAGAAGTTTTTGGCCATGATTTCTTCAAATATTTTTTATGCCCCTTTCTCTCTCTTCTTCTGGGACTCCCACAATAATGAGGTACTTAATGTGTCCCACAATATGTCCCCTTTGGCTCTGTTGATTTTTTTCATTCTTTTTTTCTTTCTGCACCTCAGACCAGATAATTTCAATTGTCTTATATTCAAGTTTGCAGATCTTTATTCTGCCTATTCAAGTCTGATCTTGAACTCCACTAGTGAATTTTATCTATTGTACTTTTAGCTCCAGAATTTCTAATTGGTTTCTTTTTATAATTTCTCTCTATTGATATTCTCTATTTATTCATATATTGTTCTCCTGCTTTTCTTTAGTTCTTTCCCCATTATATCTTTTAGCTCTCTAAGTATATTTAAGACAGTTGATTTAAAGTCTTTGCCTAGTATGTCCAGTGTCTGTGCTTCCTCAGGGATGGTTTCTGTCACTTTTTTCCTGTGAATGGGCCATACTTAACTGTTTCTTTGTATACCTTATTATTTTTTGTGAAAAACTGAACATTTTGAATATTATTAACTCTGGAAATCATATTCTCCCTTTCCCCAGAGTTTTTTGTTGTTGCTTGTTGAGGGCTGTAGTCATCCATTTGTCTAGTGACTTTCCCATACTGTTTTTGCAAAGACTGTATTTCTTATTTGTGTATGGTTACCTAAGTCTCTGTTGCATTATCTCATTGGTCAGCCAGTCCTTACAGAGATTTCCTTAAGTGCCTGGAGCCAAAAAGAAAAAAACATAGTCTATTTTTGCAGATTGGCTGTGAGCAGAGGCAATCCTTCAATGCTTGGACAGCCCACCTATGATTCTGCCTTAGCTTTCACTTCCTGCTTGTGCAAACCTAAAGATCAGCCAGAGGTGCAAGCTTAGGGTCTACTCAGGTCTTTTCTTAGCATGCATCAGGCTCTGGGCATGCACATTGCATATATCAGTACTTCATTACTTTTATTGGTATACTACATTTTATTTATCCATCCATCAGTGGATGGACATTTGGATTGCTTTCACTTTTTGGCTCTTATGAGTAATGTTACTATGACATTGTGGATACCTTCTAGGCTAGTATATATAGATCTAACTCATTTCTATTTTAAAAACAGACATATTTATATATAACTGATATACTATGAACTGCATATATTTAAAATTTGAGTTTTGAAATATATATAAATCTATGAATTTATATCCATAATTAAGAAAACAAATATTTTCATCACCTTCAAAAGTTTCCACTTGCCCTTTTGTAATCCCATTCAACTCTACAACCTGGTCTGCCCACACCCACTGATCTGGTTTCTGTCACTAAATGTTAGTTCTCATTTTCTAGAATTTTATATCAGTGGAATAACACAATAGTTCTCTTTTTGTCTGGTTTCTTTCGCTCAGCATAATTATTTTGATTTTCTCTCATGTTGTTGCATGTATCAGCAGTTCCTCACTTTATTGCTGAGTAGTATTCCATTATATGTCTATATCACATCTTGTTTATCCATTTACCTGTTGATGGATATTTGGATTTTTTGTCCTACCTTTTTAGCTATTACGAATGACCCTGTTTCAGTATTTTTGTACAAATCTTTTTGTGGACTTATCCTTTCATTTCTCTTTGTTAAATGTCTAGGAGTAGAATGCTTGGGTTGTATGGTAGGTGTATGTTTAACTTTTTTAGGAAACTGCCAAATTGTTTCCAACAATGAAAAACAATAGCCATTACAACAATAGACAACTGTTATATCATTTTACATTCCTACTAGCAGTGTTTGAGAGTTCTATCCTACATCCTTACCAACATTTGGTATGATCAGTCTTTTTAATTTTAGCCATTTTAGTGTGTGTATAGTGGTATCTCATTGTAGTTTTATACTGCATTTTACTAATGATTAATGATGTTGAGCATCTTTTCATGTGCTAATTTGTTATCCATAATCTTCTTTGGTGAAGTACATGTTCAAATCTTTTGCCCATTTTTAAATTGGTTTTTGTTTTTCATTATTTAATTATTGTTTTGGTGAGGAAGTTTTGCCCTGAGCTAACATTCATTGCCAATCTTCCTTTTTCTTTTGCTTGCAGAAGGTTAGCCCTGAGCTAACATCTGTGCCAATCTTCCTCCATTTTGTTTGTGGGATGCCTCCACAGCATGGGTGATGAGCAGAGCAAGTCCACACCTGGGATCCAAACCTGTGAATCTGGGCTGCTGAAGCCAAGAGCACAGACCTTTAACCACTCAGCCATGGGGCCAGCTCCTGTTTTTCATTATTATTGAGACTGAGGGGTGGGAGTTCTCAATATATTCTGGATAAAACTCCTTTGTAGGATACATGTATTAAAAGTATTTCAGTTTGTGGTTGCATTTACATTTTCTTAGCAGTGTCTTTATTAAATTAAAGGTTTCCATGTAGACAAAGAAGGAAACTTTCATATGGCCATAGTTCATGTGGAAGACTTGCAAGTTTTAGTTGATTGTATTCTTAATACAACTTAAGGGTGTGATGTAGCTAATGAACTCTGGCTTCATTTATGAATAGATTTTGTAGATAATGAGAAGTAACAATCTTATGGTACTTGTACTGATCATATCACATTATTACTTTAAATTCTAGGGACTAAATGTTAAGTGGAACATTGTCAATCTTAAGTGCATTCAGAGGAAGTAGATTAGGATAGTAAGAGACTGAGAAAGGAAGAGTGAAGGAACTTGAGATAGTCTAGAAATGAAAGGACTAAATGCAGATAGAAGTTTTCAAAAATTTGAAGGTCTTGCAGAGTAAGAGAATAATAGTTAAGAGCATGGGATGTGTATTCAGAGAGACATAGATTCAAACACTGGCTATTCCTCTTAACAGCTATGTGGTATTAGGCATGGTACTCAAAGGCTGTCTAAGTTTTCTCACTAAAATTCACAGTACATGTTAAATACTCAACAAATAACATTATTATTAAGCTCACTATGTGACAATAGTGATATTATGAATTATTTATTACATAACAACTTCTAGTGCTTTATGGGATAATTGGGATATTCATTATATTAAGCCATCCTGAACAAAAGTGGCACTTTATTTGGAAGGTGCATAAATGTATTAGTTATCTATTGTGTAAGAAATTGCCTCCAAATCTAGCAGTTTAAAATAATAAATATTTATTCTCTCATGATTTCTCCTATGGTTTAGGAATCCAGGAGCAGCTTAGCTGGCTGGTTCTGGCTCAGGGTCTCTCATGAGGTTGCAGTTAAAATATCAGCCAGGGCCTGCTGTCATCTTAAGGCTGACTGTTGACAGACAAGCCCAGTCCCTTCCTTGCTGTTGACAGAAAGCCTGTTTCTTGCCATGTGGACTTTTCCCTAGTGTAGCTTGAGTATTCTCTTGCCATGGCAGCTGGCTTCTCCTAGAGAGAATAACCCAAGTGAAAGAGGATGGAAGAAGTCACAATGCCTTGTATGTCATATTTCAGATGTCGCACATTGTCCCTTTTGCCTCCTTGCTTTTTTTTTTAAAAGTGAGTCACTAAATACAACCCATACTCAAAGGGAGGGGAATTAGGCTCCACCTTTTAAAAGGGGTACTATTAAAGAATTTGTGGACATATTTTAAAACCACTGCAACCAACAAAGAAATCTGCACAGAAGATTTTAAGAATGTTTCTGATGTTGCTGACTTAGGAAAGAAAAGTTTTCAGCCCTCATCCCCCTAACCAGGTTTCTGGTTTCCTATAAAATTATCACACCAAATCTATTTCCCCTCAGTTTTTTTCCTAAAGTATCGGGTCCACCCCAGGTAAAGAAATGTTTCAATTATTCAGTTATCATAAAATCCTGACCTCATGGAGAGATATCTAGACTCTCTCTGTAAAAGAGTCCCCATTGGGTTTCTGTCTTAAGTCTTTTGGCCATTCAAGATAAGGATCTTAATTCATGTTCTTCTGCTAGCTCAGGGTTAATCTTCATGTTACATGAAGAATATCTCCCCTGCCAATCTGACCTAGTGTATTAGTTTCCTGTGGCTGCTGTAACAAATTACTACAAACTGGGTGGCTTAAAACAACAAAATTTATTCTCCTGTAGTTTTGGAGGCCAGAAGTCTGAAATCAAGGCATCAGCAGGGCTGCAGTCCCTCTGGAGGCTGTAGAGGAGGAATCAGTTTCTGCCTCTTCCAGCTTCTGGAGGCTCTTGGCATTTCTTGACTCATAGCTGCATCACTCCAGTCTCTGCCTCTGTGGTCACACTGCCTCCTCCTTTTCTGTCTGTTATCTTCCTTTGTCTCACTCTTATAAGAACACTTGTCACTGGATTTAGGGTCCACCTAGAAAATCCAGGAGAGGCTCTTCCTCTGAAAATTCTTAATCACATATTTTGCCATTTAAGGTAGTTTTCAATCTTTTACCTTATAAGGTAATAGCCACAGGTTCTCTGGATTAGGATGTGGCCTTATCTTTCGCTGGGGCACAATTCAGCCCACTATTTAGTATCACTATTAATATAGCCTGGGAAAATAGGAGAACAAAAAGATCCTTAAGATACCCCCTAAAATATGACTAAAACTTTCTGTCTTTAAAACTTACCATAAATGATTAAGATAATAAAATGTCTATAAATACATAAATGACTTCTTGGAAAAAGTGGGATTTATGATTCCTTGAAGGTGTGATATAAAGTTGAGAAATATTGGTCTAATTGATTAATTTTTTGTTATCAAGTATTTTGTACATATATAAAAACACAAAGCACCTATTTACCCACCACCTAACTCTATCAAATATTAATATTTTGCCTTATTTTATAAGAAATAAAACATTACAGATATAGTTGAAGTACCCTGTATTCCCTTCCTCTGTTTTATTCTTTTATTTCTTTTTCTTCAGAGATAACTACTATCCTGAATTTGGTGTTTATCTTTGTCATGAAAGTATTTAATACTATTGCTAAATATATATGTGGTTATCACAATATATAGCATTTATTGGAATGGCATATAATATGTACATATGTATATGCATGTACAATCATGTGCCACATAATGACATTTCAGTCAATGATGGACTGCATATATGACGGTGGTCCTATAACATTAGTACCCTATACCCTAGGTATGTAGTAGGCTGTACCATCTAGGTTTGTGTAAGTACACTCTATGATGTTTGCATAACAATGAAATCTCCTAACAACGCATTTCCCAGAATGTATCCCTGTTATTAAGTGATGCTTGTGGGTGTGTGTATATATATATATATGTGTGTATATATATATATATACACACACACTATATATATATGATATGCTATATTTACTCTGTTACTTATTTTTTCTCAATATTATGTTTTTCAGATTTATTAATGTTGGTAAATGTGTAACTTTGTTGAGTGTTTTTTCAGACGGTGAATTGCAAACCATTAGTAGCTCATAGTGTCAATTTGGTAGGTCGTGAACTACTTTAGAAAAAAAAAGAAAAAGAATAACAGAGAAAATAGAATATATCACATGTACTCAATTTAAGTATAGTTTTGTGAGGGATCTCTCTCTCTATGAATATCGAGCCATGGTATAAACTATATTTCTAACTGTCGGTAAAACATTTGAAAGTCATAGTTCTAACTCATTCAGTTTTATTACTATAACATTTCATTATATGAATACACCACAGTTTAACCATTTCTCCTGTTGATATTTCAATTGTTTCTACTGTTTTATTCCCACAAACAATGCTGCAAAATACTGTTAAACATGTCTCCTTGTGCACATATGCGGGACTTTATACTTATGAGTGGAATTGCTAGAGTATATTTATCTTCAACTACGCTTGATATTGCTAGATTCCTCTCCATGTGGAGTTTTCACTACCAGTATACTAGTTCCAATCATTCCATATCATTGACATCACACATTAAAAATGTTTTTAATCTGATGGGTAAGAAATAGCAAGTTATTGTTTTAAATTGCATTCCTCTAAATATTAGTGAAGAATGTTTTCTTGTGATTGTTAGATATTTGGGTTTCCTCTCTTATGAACTGCCCATTTTTCTATTGGATTGTCTTTAACTCATTAATTTATAGTTCATTATAAAATCCGTGTTCTAACCTTTTGTCAACTAAGATATATCGCAAATGTTTTCACCCAGTCTGTGGCTTGTATTTTACTTCAGCATGTTCTTTAATAAACAACTTCTTTATTTTTAATGTATAAGACTTACTAAACTTTTCCTTTACAGTTTGTCCTCTTTATGTATTTTTGTCTTATTTAAAAAATCCTTTCTGTCTAAGGAATAACAATTTTTCTCCTATAAATTTTCTATAAATTAAAAAATTCTCGTTCTCACTTTTAGTTTTTAATCCAACTGGAATTTATTTTTGTAGTGGTTGTGAACAGAGGTAGATTCACCAGGAACCTAATCAAGTTTAAGCGGCAGGGACCAGTACTTTCACAAACCATTTCTAAGGCCTTGGGAGAAGCCCAAGTAATGTGTTCAATATGGGTTGTATGTTTTTATAAAATTTTGCAAATGTAAAATGTTTTGTTTTTCTTAAATAGGTATCCTCAAATTATAAATTTCAGGCCCTATAAAACTTGGATTCCTTCCTAGGTCTGAGGTAGGAATCTAATTTTAATTTTCTTCCATATGGATATTAATTGTCCCAGTGCTAATTATTGATATATGCAAACCCTTTCCCACTGATTTGTAATGCTACTTCTGTCATATATTAAGATTCCATAAATGAGGAGGTTTATTTCTGGGCTCTCTATTCAGTCCCATTGGTGTACCTGCCTATCCCTCCAATTTATTTTTATCTAGTAGAGGCTTGTAGGACTGTTTCTGTCTCCAGATGGGGTCTTAAACCAGGGCATTCCACTTGTGTTAGCATCCATTTATTTTAGTGAGAATTACAAAAAAGGAGGTCCTGATTTCCTTTGAAAGACTTAAGTCAATGGAAAAAGTACATTGTTTTGCAGTTGGGTAGAAGTTAAACTCTGCCTAGTTCTCCTAGTCTGACATTCTGGAGAATCACAGCACTTTAATAGGAGGTAACGTTAGAAATTATCTGTAGCTGGTAACTCCCCTCTTGGGCCTTGACTGATTTTCTCACATAGTTCTAAATGATTTTTTTCATGTCCCACCGCACTTGGTACATATTTCACTCAATCACACAATATTTTAATTAGTCATTTATATCTGTGATCCCAAGGAAACTGAGCTTCTTCCATGTAGGAAGCTTCTTCCATGTAGAAAGAAGCTGTTTAGCATGGTGTATACCACATAGTGGGCACTCAAAAAGTGTCTGATTTAATGAATAAATTCAGAATACGAAACTAATATATTTAAATAACTTTTAGCAACCATAATTATTATTGATATCCTACCAATTGGACTTCTTACAACTACGCTGTGCCCAGCTTTCATAGTGAGATAACACCTTTATGACTTTACAGAGACTTATTTACAGTTAACTCTGAGGCTACATTAAAAATCTTTATGTGCTGTAACTCTTTAGGAAGCTAGTCAGAAGTGTTTTGTGCAGCTCCTTTATATGTATTACTCTAAACACAGAAAACTTCCTTTGTTGTTCTATTATTATAGTAATTAATGGTTTTTTCTTTTCTGTTTCTTTTTTCCTTCTCAAAAGGGGGAAAATGGAGACTTGAAGTCATAAGCATTGGGTTGATTTGCTGTGACTATAGGTCATACTTAACCTTAACCTTCACTTAACCTTTCCATGTCTGAGCTTCCTCATCTTGCCATACCTTTTGTCATAAAAGATATGAGGTATAACATGTAAAGAGTATTCAATGAGTAATTCAGTGATCGTCTAGCTAAGTTCTATTAAAATTTAATCAATAAAATTTTAAAATTTAATCAAAGAATGATAATATAATGAGTAAACCAAGTTACAATTTCAATGTTCCTAATATAACAAAGTTGAATAGATTAAGTTCAGCTCATGTCTATTATCTATTTACCTATGCGTTAGTTAAATTAACACTTCCTGCTGTAACAGATAAACCCCTGAATCTCAATGATGTAAACAGTTTGTTTTTCAATCATGCAAAATTCTAAAGGATATTACTAATCAGCAGTTTGTGTTCCTCCAGGCAGTAATTCAAAGACTCAGTCTCCTATTTCTTTGTCCTTGGCATCCCCTTGGACCTTGGAGTCCTCTGTTGCATTCAATTTCTCTAGCTTGGTGATGGGGGAAAGAGTAAGGCTGTTGTGTGGAAGCCTTTTATGAGCCAGGCCTGTAACTAAATCACATCTATCCACATTCAGGTGGTCAGAATGCAGTTACTTGACAATCCCTGACTGTCAGAGAACCTGAATAATAATCTAACCATGTTCACAAGAAGAAAAGGAAAACAGATTTATTGAATAATTGTTAAAGTCAATCACTGCCACAAACTATTAAGAAACACACGATACGCAAGGTGCTAGGAATACAAGTCCCTGTATTTGAAGATGTCACATACACTACACATTAATAAAAAAATAAATTAAAGGAGTCTTTCTCTAGCTTTATCAATCTTTTAAACACCACTCAAGTATCTACAAACTTCACCTGAGACTTTTGGTTTCTGGTCTAGTATATAAGTAGCTTGGAAGTTGCCACTCTGTCTTAACAACAAGTAAAAAGCTGAACAAACTGAAATATCAGCTCTTCTTAGGTCCATCAGAGAAGTGAGATCACAGGGCAAAACACTGCTCCCCAAATTGGAGAGACAGGTGAAAAAAGAGAATCACAACTTACCACAGCAGAAACCCATGAGCAGAAATCTCCTAGGAACCAATGCCAGGGTAGGAAAACATAAATTTTTAACTGACAAATTGCTGAAGGCTCAGTGTGGACAAGTCTGAGAGTTAAAAACTCCAGGGGGACCCAGGCAGAGGGAGTTCCCCATATTTTTGTGAGTTTTATTTCTAGGACCTTTACTAGGTCCTCACAGTGAATACCAGAGAAAGATTCCCTTGTGTTTCTGGAAGAGGGAGAGGAAAAGGAGCCATTTTGAAATAATCAGAGTAATTTGTTCTTCTTAACAAGACCTGTCCTTAAGAGAAGGTATTTTACCAGAGCCTAATCTACCTTGGGGAGGAGAAATACACAAGTCCAACTCCCTTTGGCCTTCCACATGGGGGAAGGGAATATCCAACTCCACGCCCCTCTATTGTGGATCAGAAAACAAGACCCAACTGTATGTTGTCTATAAGAAACCCATTTTAAATATATAGATACATATAGATTAAAAGTAAATGGATGGATGGGGCCGGCCCAATGGTGTAGTGGTTAAGTTTGCGCACTCCACTTCAGTGGCCTGGGGTTCACAGGTTCGGATCCTGGGTGTGGACCTCCACACTGCTTATCAAGCCATGCTGTGGCAGGCGTCCCATATATAAAATGGAGGAGGATAGCCACAGATGTTAGCTCAGGACCAATCTTTCTCAGCAAAAAAGAGGACTGGCAGTGGATGTTAGCTCAGGGCTAACCTTCCTCACCAGAAAAAAAAAAAGTAAATGAATGGAGAAAAATATACCATGCTAACACTAACCAAAAGAAAGTAGGAGCAGCTATATTAATTTCAGACAGAGCAGACTTCAAAGCAAGGAAAATTACCAGGATAAAAAAGGGCATTACATAATGATAAAGTAGTCAATTCTCTGAGAAGACAACAAATCTTAATGTGTATACACACCTAACAATAAAACAGTAAACTATATAAGGCAAAAACTAATAGAACTGCTAGGAGAAACAGATGCATATAAATATAGTCAATTGATCTTTGATAAAGAAAAAAGGGCAATACAATGGAGCAAAGATAATCTTTTCAACAAATGGTGCAGAGTAACTGGACATCCACATGCAAAAAAAAAAAACTAATCTAGGCACAAACCTTAGACCCTTCACAAAAATTAACTCAAAATGCATTATAGACCTAAATGTAAAACACAAAATGATAAAACTCCTAGAAGATAACAGGAGAAAACCTAGATGACCTTGGTTAGGCTGAAGACGTTTTTAAGATACAAAAGACATGATCTATGAAAAAACAATTGATAAGCTGGACTTCATTAAAATTAAAAACTTCTGCTTTGCAAAAGACAATCTCAAGAGAATGAGAAGACAAACTAGACTAAGAGAAAATATTTGCAAAACACACATCTGATAAAACACTTTTATACAAAACATACAAAGAACTCAGCACTCAACAGTAAGAAAATGAACAACCTGATTATAATATGGGCAAAACATGTGAATAGACAACATACCAAAGAAGATAGACAGCTGGCAAGTAAGTATATGAAAAGATGTTCAACGTCATATGTCATTAGAGAATTGCAAATTAAAACAACAATGAGATACTAGTACAAATCTATTAGAATGGCCAAAATCTGGAACACTGACAACACAAAATGCTGGCAAGGATAAGGAGCAAAAGGAACTCTCCTTCATTGCTTGTGGCAATGCAAAAGGGTACAGCCATTTTGGAAGACAGTTTGGTGGTTTGCTACAAAACTACACATTCTCTTACCTTAAGATTCAGCAGTTGCGCTCCTTGGTATTTACCCAAATGAGATGAAAATTTATGTCCATACAAAAACCTGCACGTGGATATTTATAGCAGCTTTATTTATAATTGTCCAAACTTGGAATCAACCAAGATGTCCGTCAAATAGGTGAATGGATAAACTGTGGTACATCCATAGAATGGAATTTTATTCAGTGCTAAAAAGAAAAGAACTATCAATCCATGAAAAGACATGGAGGAAACTTAAGTGCATATTACTAAGTGAAAGAAGCCAATTTCAAAAGGCTATACACCATGTGATTCCAACTCTATGACATTCTGCAAAAGGCAAAACTATGGAGACAGTAAAAAGTTCAGTAGTTGCCAGAGGGTGGAGGTAGGGAAGGAGGGATGAATATGCATAGGAGATATTTAGGGCAGTGACACGATTCTGTATATGGTGGATGTATGTCATTACGTATTTGTCAAAATCCACAGAATGTACAACACCAAGAGTGAACCCTAATGTAAACTATGGGCTTTGGGTGATAATGATGTGTTAATGTAGGTTCATCAATAGTAATACATGTGCCACTGTGGTGGGAGATGTTAATAATGGGGAAGGGTGTGTGTGTGTGTGTGTGTGTGTGGAGACAGAGTTTATGGGAACTCTGTACTTTCAGCTCAATTTTGCTGTGAACCTACACTGCTCTAAATAAACTTTATTAACAAAGAAAAGCAAAAAACTTCACCTGACTCTGAAGAACTATTGCCTATATAACCAACCTGTCTCAAAGACTCCTTGAGAAGGTTAAAATTGTTTTTTGGGGGGTAAAAATCTTATAATAAAAAGACATATAAAAGTAGGAGATTTGGAAAAGGCCACTCATTTGACATTAAAAAAACCATAAGCAATGAATGAAACAGTGAAAAGGAATTAAATTTATCTTGACTGCTTATAGAACAGGGCACAAAAGAACACGCTAAAAATCACTATTTTTTGACTCTTAAAACCAAACAAACCAGTGCCAAAATAATTTTCCCAAGGCAGAAATTTGGCAATTGTTTTGTTAGCTCCACGAGAAAAATGGCATACTAGAGCAAAAAATGTTTAGCATTCTATGATTATTTTGTTTATAAATCATAGTAAAAAATCTGTTTAATTTAGATATCTGCCTAATTTATCTTAATACACTGTTCTTATTAAATTGCCACACAAATAAGACTAGGCCCTTTTTCTTTTTCTAGAAAAATAGCAAGACTAGGGGCTCCTGTTCTAGACCACCTAAAGCTTTCATACAATTAGAGGAATCATTCTCTTACATGAATTAAATCTTCTGAGTCATAGCTTCAACCTGTTTGCTTTTCCGATGAAGCAGATAACTAAGAAATTACTTAATTTACTTGGCCAATTTAGTAGATTTTCATAACACCCAAATTACTTGGTTTATTCATTAAGGCTTTTTTTGTGAGGGGACAGTTGCTCTGATTTAGCAATAAGCTGCTTCTCTCTTTTTTATTTTTTATTCATTTTTATTCTTTTTGGTGAGGAAGATTCTTCCTGAGCTAACATCCATTGCCAATCTTCTTTTTTTTACTTGAGGAAGATTAGCCCTGAGCTAACATCTGTGCCAATCCTCTTCTATTTTTTCTATGTAGGATGCTTCCATAGCATGGCCAATGAGTGGAGTGAATCCGTGCCAGGGATCTGAACCTGTGAACCCGGCCTCCAAACTAGAACGCGGGAAACCTTATCTTGCCCCTGCTTCTGTTTCTTTGTTTTTGCGGGGGTGGGGATGTGGGGGTGGGGGGAGGGCATTTAGTTATTGTTTTCATTACCGAAATAAATCTAAACACCTTGGCATCCTCACTTATGCTTCTTTTCTATCACATTTTCTAAAACTCTTTCAAGAAATCATGACTTGAATTCCAGGAAAGAGGTTTAGGAATTTATGAAGCATTTTCAATTAAATGCAACTTACTCCGTGAGTGAGCATTTTAATAGCTTCACAAGGAAAGTCTATTTTCAAAACGAAGTAGTAGGTGTTTTCTTCAGAGGTTACCAAAAATAAGAGATACTGGTCAAAAATTAGGCAGCATGTCCTATGCTATTCCTTTAAACCCAGTGTATATTTTCCCGAAATTAGGAGCTTGAGTTTCTTGACTTTGGTTGCAATTTACTAAAAGAAAAGGAAATATTTTATACATTAATGTCAGCCTAAGAAAACCAACACTGACTCTTAAAACTCTAAATTCATTCCTTAGCAGCTATTTTTCACTTTGTCTCTAGGAGTGTCATTTCCTTCTTCCAATATACCTGTCGCTTTTCTGAAATCCCCTATCAGACTGTAATCCAATGGTTCTCCACCATCTTCTCTTTCACCATTCCTTCCCCATTTGGCATCAGTATACTTGGGAATACTTAACCACTGCTTCGCCAAAGTAAAATAACGCGAGAGGCTGACCACAAGTTTGGTCAAAACGCATCCCCCTAAAAGACACATGCTAATCCCTTCAATTTCTCTTTCCACATTCAGCCTTCCTCCAGCAAGCGAACCTCGGATCTAAATCTAAAGTCTGCCCCCTGCTCCCACCCCTCGCTTCTCCTACCTGCCGCCTTATTGCTATTGCCCGGCCCACTGAACCCAAGTTCCGCTTTCCAGGCCTTCCATTTCCCAAGAAAAACAATAACCACTTGTTTTTCAGGCGTTTAAATATTAGGACCTTCTTTCTTCCTCCTCATTGGACCTGGGGCCCTCGGTGCTTTCCACCCGAGTGGACCTTTCTCCACCCGCAGGCACTCTCTCTCCACAGCGCCACTTCCGGATCTGCGGTGTCCCCACTTTACCGGTCCGCCCACCTCTCCGAGGCACTTCCTAGAGCTTTGTCCTAACTACCGGTGGGGTCGAGCGGAGACGCAGGCTAGCCAGGCCTAAGAGGTCTCCTCCTAGATCTAAGGGGCCCCGAGTGGCTTCTCCAGCCGCAGAACTCCTTGCTGTGGAGTCGAGTGGTGGCGGTGGAGGGACAGTTTGTTTTGAGCACCGAGTGAGGCGCACCCGGAAGTGGCTCCGTACAGGAGCTGCGCCGCTGCTTGGGGCGGGGGCCAGGTACCCGGAGGTGGAGGGGACGCCACGGTACTCTTTGGCGTGAGTGTCAGTCGAAGATACAGTACGGCGGGAGGCGGGAGCCGGCCTGCTTCTGATTCTCGTTTTATGGTGGTAGATCCGGCTGGGTTCTGGGAGGCGAGGGCCTCGTGGGGCGGCTAGGCTGGTGAAGGGGTGCAGTGGCCAAAGGGGAGCCCGCTCGCTTCATTCTCCCACTCCAGGGGACCCGCTGTCTTCAGATCACCACCTCTTCCTCCCACTCGTAGCCAGACGAGTTGAGGGGAGTTGTACTAGGAGAAAGTCGTATCTGGAGCTGAGAATCCGCTTGAGTTTTCTCTGCTTCTGGGAGGAGGCGAGCGGCCACTTTGGTGGGGACTGTTGCTTTTCCGCCTCTTCAACCCCTCCTGAGAAATGTTTTTTCCTTCGCTGCACCACCGACTCAATTACTTCTAATATTTCTATCTTTACCCCCTTCAGCTTCTGACTTTGACTCCTCTGCGCCTTAAAAGATGCTGGAGTCATATGTTACTCCAATTTTAATGAGCTACGTGAATCGCTACATCAAGAACTTAAAGCCATCAGATCTACAGCTTTCACTATGGGGTGGAGACGTGGTTCTCAGCAAGCTCGAGTTAAAGTTGGATGTGCTGGAACAGGTAAGCTGCGTAGCTGTCACTGGAAACATTTTCAGCTTGTTTAGAAGTAATCTGTTGTTTCCTACACTTTGACTTTATGCTTTAAAAACCTAGTTTTTCTGCTAACGTATTTTGGGCTACCCTGAAACTAGAGACCTTTCTTCACAGAATTTTGTTATGGTTTGTTACTAGTTTGTTAGAATCGGCTTCCCAAAAGTTGTCTCAACAGATAGAAAAACAATTTCGTTGTTGTCAGAATTGTTCAGCCTATTTACTCAATTCTTAAGTATTACCGAATATGCTAATTTACGTTGCTAAGATTCTCTATTATGCTGGAAAATATTACATTGCCGTTCTCCTCTTTAGCGAATGGAGGAGTCCGAAAGAGAGCAAGGTCAGATCTTGAGGAAAGTTCTGACTCTTAGGAAAGATTGGCATTGCCCATGGCGTCCTGAGTGCTGAGTAGACACAGATTGGTGAATGCCAACAAGATTGAAAACTTTTCTTAATCACTTCTTTTTAGTTTCTTTTCTTTCTTTTAACATGAGAATGGTCTGATACAAATGAACTGTAACTTCAAAGTTCATATACTTGTTAATTCATTTAGTACATTTATTATTAACATATGCCAGGCAACTCTGTAAGGCTTGAGGATACAAAAATTATCTTTGGAAACTCAGAAGAGTCAGAGACCAAACTGCTTTTTAGGAGATAAGGTAAGACTTAATCTGATGGTGAGAGTTATCAATAATCTTTAGTTATATTCCACTGGTTCCTCTATTGAATAATAGTTAACACTTAGTTACTACTAAGAAATAATAACTCTTGGATCCTCCCCCTTCCTCTCTCCAAGGTTAATTATCTTAATATTTTCATTTTTTTAATGAGCACAAATCTTAAGTATACAGCTCAATTTTTATATATGTATACACCTGTGAAACCACTATCCAGATTAAGAAACAGAATATTTCCTGTACCCCAAATGGCTTCCCTGTGCCCCCTTTGTAACGGGTACCTCACCCCTAACACAAGTGACTGCTGTTCTGACTTATGTCAACATAGGTAAATTTTACCTGTTCTTTAACCTTAAATAAATTGGAATAAATTGTGTCTGGCTTCTTTCGTTCAACATGATGGCTGAGATTAACCCATGTTGTTGCATGAGGGGTGGTTTGTTCTTTGTATTGCCTTGTAGTATTCCATTGTATAAAGATTCACAATTTAGTTATTTATTTTCCTAAATATACATTTGATGTACATTTGGATTGTTTCTACTTTTGGCTATTACGAAGAAAGCTCTTATGAATATTCTTAAACATGTATTTTGGTGGACATAGGTATTAGGTTCCCTTAGGTGTATTCCTAGGAGGGAGGCATATGTTTACTTTAATGGATACTGCCAAATAATTTTCTGGAGTGGTTGTACCAGTTTACATTCTTACCAACTATATATGAGAGTTCTCCTGAAGTGGAGTGCACGAACTTAACTGCTATGCCAGTGGGCTGGCCCTAGAAGTTCATAATTTTATTGTGGTCCAGTTTATCAATCTTTTCCTTTATGGTTAGTACTTTTTGTATCTTGTTTAAGAAATCTTCGCTTACTCCAAGGACTTAAAGACATTCTCCTGTGTTTTCTTTGAGGTTTTATTCTGTGATTCATCTAAAGTTAATTTTTCTGCACATGTGAAGCAGAATCGAGATTCATTTTTTCCATTGATACTCAGTTGATCCACACCATTTGTTGAACTGCTCTTTGCCTACTGCATTGCAGCAAGTCTTTATTGTAAATCAGGTTGTCATATGCATGTGGTCTATCTGTCTAGTCTTGTGTCACTACTATATTGTCTTTTACGATGCCTCAATATCTCATAGTGTAATTTGTACAACTTTGATCTTTTTTCCTTCAACGTTGTCACAACTATTGTAGGTTCTTTGCACTTCTATGTACATTTTAATTACAGCTTATAAATTTTGGAATTAATTTCTCCAAAAAAGAGAAACCTATTTAATTTTTATTGAGGTTAGATTGAATCCATAGATTAATTTGGGACGAATTAACATATTAATGTATGTTGTGTTGACATAGTATTGAGTTTTTCAACCCATGTATAGGACGTTGCTTTCTGTATTTTTAGGTCTCTAATTTCTCTCATTAGTGATTTGAAGTTTTCAGAGAGGGTTTTTACATATTTATTCATTTTATATCTCTCTTTTTTTTATGTTATAAGCAGCATTATTTATTTTTTAAAAATTTTATTTTCTAATTGTTACCAGTACATAGTAATACAGTTGATTTTAGTATATTGACCTTCCACCCAGTGGTCTCTCTAACTTGTCTAATACTTTTTGGTGGATTCTTTTGGATTGTCTACATACACAATCATGTTATCTACAAATAATGACAATTTTTCATCTTTCTTTCTAGTTCTTGGACCTTTTATTTCTTTTCTTTTGTTATTGCACCGTGGAGTAGAGATCTTGAGAATAGACATTATATTTTGTTCCCAACTTTCGTGGGAAAGCACTCAATATTTTATCATTAAGTATGTTGTTTGCTGTAAATATTCTTTATTGAGTTAAGGAAAGGTTCTTCAATTCGGGGTTTACCAAGAAGTTTGTAAAATCATGAATGGATGTTGAATTTTATCAAATATTACATTTAATGAGTTGATAGTGCATTTTGTTAATGTGGTGAATTATATTCAGTTTTCAGTTGGAGTTTGCATTCCTGGAATAAACTCCTCTTATTATTATCCTTTTTATATATGGTTTAGTTTGATTTAAGTTTTTGTTTAGTTCTGTTACATCTATGTTTATAAGTGATACTTGCCTGTGATATTCTTTTCTTATAATGTCTTTATCAGGTTTTGGTTGTCATAGATAAGTTGGCCTCATTACCTTATTTGTGAAGTATATTGTCTTTTTATAATCCCTGGAAGAGTTTGTATAAGATTGGTATTATTAGTTTTCTTTCTTTTTTTTTATTGTGGTAAAATATACATAACATAAAATTTGCCATTTTAACCATTTTTTAAATTGATTTCACATTGGTTTATAACGCTATAAATTTCAAGTCTGCATCATATTTTGACTTCTGTATAGACTCGATGGTGTTCACCACCAAAAGTCCAATTTCCATCTGTCACTGAACACATGTGCCCATTTACCCTTTTTGCCCTCCTCCCGCCCCCTTCCCCTCTGGTAACCACCAATCTGGTCTCCATATCTATGTGTTTATCTTGCATGTGGGAATGAAGTCATACAGTAATTGTCTTTCTCTGTCTGACTTATTTCGCTTAGCCTGATACCCTTAAGGTCTGTCCATGTTGTCACAAATGGCAAGATTTTGTCTTCTTTTTTTTTTTTTTTGGTCAGGAAGATTGGCTCTGAGCTAACAGCTGTTGCCAACCTTTCTCTTTTTGCTTGAGGAAGATTGTCCCTGAGCTAACATCTGTGCCAGTCCTCTTCTATTTTTTGTATATAGGACGCCACCACAGCATGACTTGATAAGTGGTATGTAGGTCCGCGCCTGGGATCCAAACCTGCAAATCCTGGGCCCCTGAAGCAGAGTGTGTGAATTTTACCACTACGCCACCAGGCTGGCCCAAGATTTTGTCTTTTTTTATGGCTGAGTAATACCATTGTGTATATATACTACGTCTTTATCCATTCATCTGTTGATGGGCACTTAGGTTGCTTCCAAGTCTTAGGTACTGTGAATAATGCTGCAGTGAACATAAAGGTGTGTATATATCTTTTTGTGTTAGTGTTTTCATGTTCTTTGGATAAATACCCAGAAGTGAAATACCTGGATCATATGCTATTTCTATTTTTAATTTTTTGAGGAATCTCCATACTGTTTTTCATAGTGTCTGTACCAATTTACACCCCCACCAGCAGTGTGAGGGTTCTTTTTTCTCCACATCCTCTCCAGCACTTGTTTTTTCTTATCTTTTTAGCAATAGCATTCTGAAGGGTGTGAAGTGACATCTCATTGTGGTATTGATTTGCGTTTCATTAATAATTAGCAATGTTGAACATCTTTTCATGTGCCTATTCACCATCTGTATATCTTCTTTGGAAAAATGTCTGTTCATATCCTCTGCCCATTATTTGATCCAGTTTTTTTTGTTGTTGAGTTGTATGAGTTCTTTATATCTTTTGAATATTAACTCCTTATTGGATATATGATTTCCAAATATTTTCTCCCAATTGCTACATTGTCTTTTCATTTTGTTGATGGTTTCCTTTGCCTTGCAGAAGCTTTTTAGTTTGATGTAGTCCCATTTCTTTGTTTTTTCTTTTGTTTCCCTTGCCGAGAGAGACCTGATATTCAAAAAGATACTGCTAAGACTGATGTCAGAGAGCTTACTGCCTGTGTTTTCTTCTAGGAGTTTTATGGTTTCAGGTCTTACATTCAAGTCTTTTTTCCATTTTGTGTTAATTTCTGTGTGTGGTTTAAGATAATGGTCTACTTTCATTCTTTTGCATGTGGCTGTCCAGATTTCCCAGCACCATTTATTGAAGAGACTTTCCTTTCTCTGTTGTATGTTGTATGTTCTTGGCTCCTTTGTCGAAAATTAGCTATGTACCATTTTAACCATTTTTTATTGTACAGATCTGTGTCATTGATTACATTTACATTGTTGTGCAGCCATCCCCACCATCCATCTCTGGAACTTTTTCAATTTCCTAAATTGAAACTCTGTATCCATTCAACACAAGCTCCTTATTCTTTCCCCCTCACCCCTGGCAGCCACCATTCTGGTTTATGTCTCTATGAATTTGACTATTTTAGTACCTTATATAAGTGGAAACATACGATATTTATTCTTTTGTGACTTTTGTGACTTATTTTACTTAGTACAATGTGTTCAGGGTTCAGTGGAAACATACGATATTTATTCTTTTGTGACTTATTTTACTTAGTACAATGTGTTCAGGGTTCATCCACGTTGTAGCGTGTGTCAGAATTTCCTTCCTTTTTAAGGCTGAATAATATTCCATTGTGTGTATATATC